CTAGGACTATTATTTTATAGAAAGTTATTCATGATGAAATTTTCCTGCCCAGCTCAAATAACTTGAAGATAACTGGTACATTCCTAAATTCATCCATCTCTTTAGAAAAACGTTTGACGAATGATATATTTTAAACATATGACATTTTATAAAAATGTTTTTCTTTAAAGCATCATTACTAATTTTAGGATGAATTTGTCATACATCTTAATTGTAGGCTTATGATTTAAGAACAACTCTTTGCTTGTGATATTTTTGGAACTGTATCTCACTCTAGCCCAGGCTAGCATTGAATTTGTAGTCTGTCTTCTTCCGCTTCCCTGTTGCTGAGATTACAGGCATGTATTACAACCCCCTGTACAAGGGTATCTGCTCTATCACGGTTCAAGGAAATTTGTATGCCTACTCAGTGAGTACCTAGATTGTGGTGAAGTATGGCAGGTCAGGCACACATTTGTTGAATGTCAAGTTTGTTAGCTTTTGTGTGTGTAGGGGGTGGCGGTGTATGGGTGCTAGTAGTCCATTTTGAACTTGAACTCAGAACCTACGTGCTGTCCCTTAGTTTTTTTCTCAAGGTTGGTGCTCTACCACTTGAGTCATAGCTCTATTTTCAGTTTTTGCTGGTTAACTGGAAATATGAGTCTCAGAGACTTTCCTGCCTAGGCTGGCTTTTTGTGATCTTCAGATCTCAGCATCTTGAGTAGCTAGGGTTACAGGTGTTTTGCCAGCCTTTTGAGAATCTTTAGGGAAACTGGCATATGTTTTTTGTCTTCTGTCTCATTCAGGGCATAATTTATGTTGGAAACAAGACAGTTTGGTTCAACATTAGCACTCTATGAGTTTATAAAACTCAAATGAACCAAGTTCTCTGGCAAAGAACTGTGGCGGTAAACCAACAGTGGAAAGTTTGAGGCTAAATATTTTTTGATTTTTGGATTGCCTGGAGATTTTCCTCATGCCTCAACTCAATCACCATTATTAGCAATGGGTAATGAACAGCTGGCTGGCTAGATTTTCTCTTACATCCAGGTTCTATCATCTGTCAAGTGAATTTGGTCTGTGTGGATACTACCAAATTGATTTCTAGTCTAGATCTCCCATGACAGCCCAAGTGTAGGAACAGTCCAGAAAATGAAGTGACAAAATTGCCTTTTACAGGGTTTAGTATGCTGATAGCTAACCTAGAGACCAAGCCCTTGTCTTTCCATGGTTGTAATGTGGTTGTAGATGCCATTAGGGCAGAATCCAATGTACCAACTCAGGTTAAAAACTTTCAGTAGCTTTCATTTCTATTTTGCGATTTATCTGTCTCTAAGTCTCTGTGGTCTGTGAAGTTCATATACTTTCTTCAGAGATTCCTCTGTGTTTTGTACGTGGTGACAAGATCTTGCTATGTAGTCCAGGGTGACCTCAAACTCATGATCCTCTACCTTAGCATCCAGAGAGCTGCTATTACAGGCATGTACTACTATGCCATGCTCTTCTGAGATTCTGCAGGTGGGTGTTTTATCTTTTAGTAAGCAAAGGTAGGCACATACCTATCAAGAGAATGCATTATTATCCCCTACCTTTATACATGTTTTATTAATAGCCAATCTCATGTGTTTTGTATACTATCATAGCATCTCTCTTGCCACACCTGTTGATGCATATGAACATGAAACCTTAAATGTTTGTTTACATATACCTTGCAGAATCTCACCCTCACAACGGTACCAATTCCAGTACTGCATATAGTACCAATGCTGCAAAACTAACTTTAAAGACTAAGTTTCATAGTGTCTCATAAATGCCAGGTTTGCAGAGTATCTTCGGCATCCTTCCAATGATGAATCTGCTCATTTCCCCCGCTTTGGTGCCAGGATTGGGGCTTGAACTCAGGGCTTTTTTTCCCCTCAAGGCTAGTGCTCTATCACTTGGACCACAGCTCTTTTTGTAAAGTCTCATGGACTTTTATGGACTTTTCCATCTTGGGCTGGCTTCAAACACTGATCCTCAGATCTCAGTCTCCTGAGTTCCTGAGCTAGGATTATAGGTGTGAGCTCTGGGCACCTAGCTTTATCATTCATTCATTCATTTACTTTTTTTTTTTTTTTATCACAGTGCCCAAGCAGACTCAGAGCCACTCTATTCCCTGTTAGGAGAAAGCTCCATACACAGCCATAACTGTAAAAATGAAGGCATTACTTATTTTTTGTTTTGAGAGTCTACTATTTGATGGATTCCTAACCTTTGGGAACAATTAGGTGTGGGAGTGTGGCCTTGCCTTAAGGTTAGAAAGTGTACTAGGTCCATCTTGGGGACCTATATAGTGGCTTGAAGTTCTTCCATTTTCCTTTGGAACCTCCTTTCAAAAACTCCCCTCTCACAACATTTCAACACACTAAGAATCCATCTTCACAAATATGGCCATAGTTCATCTTCCAAAACCCAAGTGGGATCCTCATTGGCTCAGCTCAGTGGTGTCAGCTCAGCCTCTGAAAAGCATTAATGTTTCACTTCCAGCTCCTAACCTTCTTTGTGCACTCCTCCATTTCTCCATTTACCCTTTTCCCCTCCTCCTCTTCCTCCTCCTCTTCCTCCCCCTCCTCCTCCTCCTCCTCCTCCTCTCCTCCTCCTCCTCCTGCTCTTCTTCTTCTTCTCCTTCTCCTCCTCCTCCTCCTCCTCCTTCTTCTTCTTCTTCTTTTGTTTCTCGAGTCTTATTTTACTTTGCCATATCTCTTTATGTTTTTGATTTAACATCCACATATCATGGAGACCATGTGCCATTTGTCCCTGTGCTCTTGGCTTACCTCACTCAACGTGATTTTTCTAGTTCCATCCATTTCCCTGCGAATGCCATTATTTTGTCCTTTCTAATTGCTGCATAATATTCCATTGTATTCCATGTACCCTTTTCTGTTCTTCTTTTTGGTTGTTCATGTCTTAGATTAGCCCATAGACAAACATAATTGTCCCTTTTAAATTTCCTTTTGTGAGTTTTCTGACCGTGATAGATTACTAAGACATTGTAACTCACTGTTAAGGAATAACTGTGTTTTATTTTTTATTTATTTATTTATTTTGGGTCCGGTTGTGGAGCCTGAACTCTGGGCCTGGGTGCTGTCCCTCAGCTCTTCAGCTCAAGGCTAGCACTCTACCACTTGAGCCACAGTGCCACTTCTGGCTTTTTTCTTATGTGGTGCTGAGGAATCAAACCTAGGGCCTCATGCATGCAAGGCAAGTGCTCTACCAGTGAGCCACCTTCCCAGCCCCAATAACTGTGTTTTATTCTAAGACTTGAGTTCAAAAATGATCCTGACCTCCTATTTCTTTGTCTACAGCCATGTATCTTAAAGGCTAGCAACTCTTTTTGCTTGTTGTTGTTGTTTTTTAAAAGAATGAAGATTTATTGTCACTCACAGATTCAGTCAGTGGTTGGCTGGCTCTATTAAGGCTGGCAGCTCTTATGTAGATGGAGCTTTCCATCAAAATTTCTTCAAGAGGTATTGGTGTGTAGTTTTTACATATCAGAAATGAGAATACAGTGGTGACTAAGACCGAAAGTTCCCTTGATCTCTTGGAATGGGCACTGTAGAAGCAAACAGATCCACAATTCATTTACTCTCGAAGTCAGAGAGGAAAAAATGGCGGCGGAGAAGCCAGAAGGGGAACATACATTTGCCACATTCCACAACATACCAAAGGCAACAAACACATCACTTCATCACCAAATATTTCCTCCACCACAAGAAATACAAGTGCATTATTTTCTTCAAGCTAGAGAGGAGTTTATCCCTCCTTTCTTTGAAATTCTCTTTAGCTTGTTATTATTCAGGGTCTCTAGCCAATTTTTCATCAAATTGCCCTATTTGTAGCTTCCAAATGTGAACACCAGTATGCGGAAATGGAGCCTAATAATTGCCCTGGGGCATGCACTCTGTGTGAGGCAGAAATGCCATTCAAGCCTTTAATGAAATTATGCGCTTTGGAACTGCTCATACTGGGTAGATAGGATCCATCCTGCCCTTCCTTGGTTTAGAGGAGGGAGAGGGAGGGGAGGATTGTGTGTGTGTGTGTGTGTGTGTGTGTGTGTGTGTGCGCGCGCGCGCGCGTGCATGCGTGTGTGTATGTGCGCGCGTGTGGGGCCCATTTTTGTCTTTTAAAATGCAAATTTCACAAACCAGTGATTTATGAGCAGTTCACCTCGTTTGAACATTATAAAGTTTCTCTCTCTCTCCTCTCTCTCTCTGTCTGTCTCTGTCTCTCTCGCTCGCTCGCTCTAGCTCTCGCTCTCTCTCAACTCTCCCACGCGTTTCTTGCTACTTACTGGCCCTAATCTCCAAAAAGCGAAATATTGCTGTGGATTCTTTGCCGCTGATCGATCCGACCCTTTAGAAAGAAGCGTTAGCGGAGGAAGCGGGAGAAGGAGCCCGTGCCTGCGCTCGAGCGTGGCGGGCGCAGCCACAGCGCGGAGCCGCGGGCGCCCACTGGTCCCGGGAGCTGCCAATCGGGCTGTAATCCGGGAGGAATTTCTCCCGGGTTGATCTGGGAGTCACTCGACTGCCCAGGCTGGCTCGGAAGGGAGGGAGAGTGGGAGGCAGGGAGGGGGAGGGAGGGGAGGAGGGAGGAGGGAGGGGAGCAGGGAGGAGGGAGGGGAGCTCGAGGAGGCGGGCCCGGGAGGGGGCGGCGCGGAGGAGGCGGAGCGCGGCCCGCGAGCCACTAGCCGGCCTCCGAGGCGCAGCTCTCCAGATACTCCGGGAGCTCCGGCCCCGCACCGCGCGCGCCCCCGCCGCTCCGCCCGCAAACTTCAAGCCGCAGCTCCATTTCCAGCCACTGAATTGTGTTCCTTAAAAAAGAAAAAAAAAATCCCCGAACTGAATCCCCCACCAGGGGAGGGATTCGCGGAGGAGTCACAATCCGGCCGATCAAGAAGCTCGAGAAGAGCAGCCTCTCGGGAGCCCCAACTCGGCGTCTGGAAGCGCAGAAAGCCAACAAGTGAAAAAAGAAAGAAAGAAAGGAAAGAAAAAGAAAGAAAGGGGGGGAAAGGCGCCGCGTTCCCCGGGGCGCTGCGCGGGCGGCGGGAGCAGGCGCAGGAGAAAGCGAGCGCCCCTCAAACCCCGCAGCTCGGAGCCCGGGAGCCGCGCTTGCTGCGGCGGCGGCTCGGCTCTCCGTTCCCTCGAGGCGGCCCGCGCCGAGCGCAGGACTGAATCTTCCCTTCGCCCACTTCGCCCGCAGCGCCGGCGAGCAGCTGGTCCCCGGGAATATGCAGCGCGCGTGGATCCTCCTCACCTTGGGCTTAGTGGCCTTGGTGTCGGCCGAGTCGGTGAGTGGAGCCCAGGCGGGGGCACGCGCGCAGAGCGGGGGATCCCCGGGCAGCGGGTGGGGGAAATCGGGGAGCTCCATGATCAGATGGAGGGGCGACGGGTGTGTGTGTGGGGGTCGTCTAGGACAAACGCGATCTCTCTCCCACCCCCTTTCCCCACTGTCCCTTCTCTTCCCGCAGAAAAGCGTGGATTGCTGGGGGGGGCTCCATGGTCTCTAGGGATGGGGGGTGCACACTTAAGAGTAGCAGTCTTGCCCAAGTCACCCCCAACTTCCTCACTTTCGGGGGAGTCTTTTGCTGGACCCGAGGGAACCGCTGTCTGGCGACCCGAGCAACGCTAGGCTCCGCTGGGGATCCGGTGCGCTCCTTGCGCGCGCTCGGCCAGCCCTTGGGATGACCTGGAAACTTTGGGCGTGGAGAGGGGAACCCGTCCTCCCTTCCCCTCCTCTTTTCCAACTCTCCCGAGTGCAAGTTTGGGGATTCTGAGCTCCCATTTCAGAGACCCGCGAAGGTCCGGAGAGAAAAGTTGGTGAAAGTTCTTTTGTTCGATGCTCCCCGCGGCGACTGGGGCGAGGTACCCGTTCTCCTCCGTGGAGACGCCGTCCAGCAGTCCCGCGGGGGACACAGACGCACCCCCGAAAAATGTCAGGGTGCTGGCTGCTGGAATCCTAGCCCTCTGAGACTTTCTCCTCCCCAGAGGGCGTCCTGAGCCTTGTGGAGATGGGGCAGGGGGAGACGACATTTTAATCCGGGCTGCACTGGAGTGCTGAAGGATGCGTGTGACACGGAGCTCGGCCCCGGGCGGCGTGGGCCCGCGGGGGTCGAGGCTTTCCTTCTGTTTGCTTTCTTCCTAGCTCTCAGGCCCAGGCCCGGCAGGCAGGGCTGGCGGCAGCCTCCAGCATCCTCCCCCTGTCTGGCAGTGGAAACTTGATTTTTCCTATGGATCGCTTTTCTGGGTTTGGAGCTGGTTTCGTTGCATTACCCAGTGAGCGCCCTCTAATGGAAACTGCGTCCCCGGCCTCCCGGTTTCTTTGGCTGCCCTTGCCTGGGTGCTGGGTGCCTGGAGTTCTGGATCTCCTGGGTGGGAATCCTTGGATGGCTTCGGTCTGCAGCTCTCCTCCTCTCCCCCCACCCCCGTCCCAACTCCCGTATCACCCTCTGGTCAGGGCCGGTGACCCTTTCTGCCTTCTGTAGTTCCCAAGGACTTCCTCCTCTGCCGCCTAGTAATGTGCCCATTTCTAATTAATTGAACTGTTGCTTCCAAAACAAATCACTGTATATCATCTTCGTGTGTGTCATATTCTCCTAAACCCTTGAAACTGGGAAACATCTTTGGTGTCTTCGGTGGGGGGGATTCCCCCACCCTATAAGTTAGTTGAGGTCAGAGCATGGAGAATGGGAAACTTGTAAGTAGATAAGGAATTGGGCACTCCCATTGTAAAATGCAACTGTGAACCTTATCAGTATTTCTCAGTGGCAAATGATGGTTGAATCCGTTGCAATTAGCAGCAGTCCCCCAGCTAGTTATGAACTTTGGCACGTTGTACACGCAAGGGAAATGATTCTCTATTTATTTCAGAAACAAACAAACAAACATCCTTGTTCATCTTTGTTGCAATACAGGGCAAAAGGACAACCTCATGTAGTTAAGAGAAGCTTGGCCAAAAAGCTGAACAGGGAAGGGGAAATCCACTCCTCCCCCTATTCCTGTTTAGAACTTTGCTAGGAAATACGACCGTTTTGGGACTGTGGAGAAAAAAGCCTTTGGAGTTTTTGCATAAATCTGACAGTTCTCCTTATGGAAAGGTCTTGCTCAACTGTAGGTGGCCTCCCCAGTGAGAGCTTTTCCCTGAAATCCAGATCTTTAGTGTTTACTAGTTGTCAATTTGAATCAGAATCCAGTGTTTCTCCTGTGAACAGCTTGTTTGTGGGCAGGCAGTTTTGAACCACTGGATATCCCCTGCAAGTGTGATTAGTGTGTGTGTGTGTGTGCACACACACACACACACACAAGCATGCTTACTTGCTTGCTTCTGTGCTGGTTCTGGGGCTTTAACACAGGGTCAGGAGCCCTGTCTCTGAGCTTTTGTGCTTCAAGCTGGCCCCTGAGCCACATTTCCACTTCTGGCTTTTGGGGTGGTTAACTGTAGGTAAGAGTCTCATGGACCTGTTACCGGAGGACTTCTGCTTTCAAACTTAGGATCTCATCCGGAGTAGCTAGGATTACAGGTGTGAACCACCAGCCATTGGTGCTATCTTGGTTAGATATTTTCAAGATATCAACTTGGATATCCTCCTATACAGTCTTTGTTCAGTGGTGAGTCAGTCTTTCTCAGTAGAAACTGTTTCACAGGCTCAGAATGGCTAATGGTCTCTTTAAATCATCCCTCAGCCTCTTGAATGTTTCATGTTAGCAGGGCATTAATAGAAACAGACTTGAAAGGCTTAATTTTTAGAAGTTTAGCTGCCATGAAACATTATTTTCAGAATTTTGCCTTTTAATTTGGAAACTACAACTGTGTCCTAGGATTTAGAAGTAATCATTGTTGGAGCCAGAGGCTTTTTCAAAAGGGGAAAAAAAAAGGAAAAATACCTGCAGTTTTGTATTTAGCAGGGCCGGTGGGAATGGGAGTGGAGGTTGGGGTGGTTCTAAGGGACTAAGTCAAAGGTGTCTGAAAGGAACTAGTAGTCCTTCTCTCTTGGATGCAGAGAGCAGGGAAAGCCTGTTCCCAGTGGTCCATTCATGCCTTCTACAGGCAGGTTAGGGCTTTCATTGTGGGAAACAGCTCAGCAAAGGATGTCTGTGTGTGGCAGTAGAGATATGCTGCTGCTAGTTTTTCTGTCCATTTGTTTCATGACTTGTTTATCTTTAGAAATAATATATTGCAGACTGCTATAAACACATAATTTGAAACTGGAAATATGTTTGAGAAAAGGAAGCATTTTGAAGTAGTGGAATTTTATAAACATGCTTAGATGTCTATAAATGAAAAGAAACTGTCAAGTCATTTGGAGCCATGCATTACTTCGAAGGACATTATGAAAGGCAGGCTCTGGAAAGTTTGCATTACAAGAGGAAAAGACATTGAAATCTTAAATCCTTGCAGCTCTTTGAAAAGCATCTATTTGCACTGTTGTAGTGACACAAATTAGTTTGGTAGGAACCAGAGCTCTTTATTTTTTGTTGGATATTAGCCGTAGATAAATGGCATTTAAGAAGGAAAATTCTTAGAAACTCAGATTTGCAGAAGATGGTGTCCAAGAGGAAATCTGTCCATATCTTTCAACTCATAGTCCTGGAACCTGGTATATCTGTTTTGTTTCTTAAACCTATTGAAAATATTGTACATATTTATGGATATTGTGATTACATATACTATGTTATAAATATAATGTGTAAATATAATACATAATATATATTACATAATAAATATTATTCTATATATTTTATGTATAATCATTTCATGTGCTTGTGCCAAACTGAGGCTTGCATTCAGGGCTTCATTCTCTCGTTTGACATTTTTACTCAAGGTTGTTGCTCTGACTTGAATCACAACTGCACTTCTGGCTCTTTGCTGGTTAATTGGAGATAAAGGTCTCACTGAGTTTTCTGCCCTGGCTGACTTTGAACTGTAATCCTCATTTCTCAGCTTGCTGAGTAGACAGGATTACATCATGAGCTACTAGCACTTGACTCCCCTGTGATGTTTTGATATAAGTATACATTATGCCGTGTTCAGATCAGGCTAGTATACCTCATGTGATGGTACCAAGCTTTCAAGGGACAGTCTGACAGGGGAATCCCCCTGTAACATGGTCATTCAGGTGGTGCCTTGGACAATCATTTGTTTGGAAAGAATGAAAAAAAAAAACCAGCTAAGGTTTTCCCTGAGCTACTTTTCAAGTTACCAGAAGCCCTGGAAGCCTGATTGTTCATCTAGAGGGTAGCTTAAAGGTCTCTTGGGTTGGTTCTGCCTCTGGCTGGCCCAGACACACAGTGCATGACCAGCTCTGTCATTAAGGTTTATAGGGAGTCCCATCAAGTCTGCGCTGTTGGCCTGCCTGCTGGCTGTGACCCAATAAGTCTTAGGAGGAATGCCTCTGAGTTTAGTTTCTCACGAGATTTTCTTCTTCTATTGCCAAAACAACCAAACTAAAGGATCCCACCCATCATTTTCTTCTTCCCAAAGCAGGAAGAAAAGCTGTCATTCTATCAACAGTATGTTTTGGTAACTCAAAATCAGCTACTTCTTTTGCTGACTGGAAGCTCCTACAAAATCTCAGAGAAAAGCAAGAAGTCAGGAAGATGACCTTTGCTGAAAACAAGCTACTCTTACTTCACATTTGGTCAAGTGTCTCAGGACTGTTATTTTCATTAGAGTCCTTTTGAGGGCAGTCTAGGAGAAATCCTTAACTCACTTGACTTGGTTCACACCCATGACTGTCTGGGCCTAAATCTGAATTGTCCTTTTTTATACTGGGATGCAGTGCTGGCAAACCAGTAAACCCTTCTGGTCTCCCTGGGGCTTGTGTTCTAGAGAGCCAGATAGCTTTTCTTCCAGTGTGTTTCACGTTTACTTATTTATGTATTTGGTAGCTCTTCTAGCTTATGCATCGGTCCGTCACTGAGTAGTTGCCGTTCCTAGCCCAGACGCTAGTCTGCTCTTTGCTATGTTCTCTACTACACTGATCATGACACCTACGGTCTAGAAAGATCTGTATGTCCTGTTAATCATGCTTTAGCGAGAGTTGTAAACTGTTCTTTATCAGTGCTCTTTCCTTGTTACTGGCTTGGTCACTCCTTACTGTGTCTCACGCTTTGGCTTGCTCATGTCACTGTTAGGAGCCCTGCTTGTGCATAGCTACCTCTTTAGAATTTCTCCTTTGAAATTCTATCAGTGAAGTCTAAACTTCAGCTAGCTTTCCATGACAGCTCCACAACCCAAATGTTTATTTCTATGCTTCTATATGTAGGAAGCCCACTGATGGTCAGAACCACT